CGCCTTCCAAAAGCACATCGCTACAGCAGCCACAGAGGTGGGCACTATACATTATAAATGCAACAACACACTCATGCAAGCCGCAAGCTGCACTTGGCTAGAAAACTGCAAGCTGCAAGCAGTGCTGAGCAAGGCCAACCGCGGCACTTCGCATCTAACTGAAGGCCGCCGCTGTAGTTAGCCGTGCTTGCACGTCGTAGGCTAAGCTACCCCGAAGGGCCGAGCACACAGCTTGTAAAGTGCGACCACGTCGTACCGGTGAAGGACCCAGTTGGCGTATGTGTCGCGGGGGATTTTTTCGCTGGTGCGCCATAACCGTGCAGCTCCCAAAGCCTCGCCCTCGACCTCAACCCTCACTTATAGCAGTGGGAAACAAAGCTGAGTATGCCCTGATTGTGCCCGCTGCTGTACCGACTTGGGACCGGACCGGCTCGATGCAACAAATGCTCCATGCGCCACTCCATCTTGAACCGGGCAGAGTAGTGACTGTGCAAGAAAACTCACTTTCAGGTAGACGTCCCCACAAACTGTATGCCAGCCAACCCAGGAAAAAGTCAGCGACAAAACTTACTATGGGTCTCCACAAAAATTTGGTGCTACAGGGTATCGCCACATCGCGTGTGCTCAACTCTTTGACCTTGTTCCTTGCAGGCCCGCCTGGCCACTGGCATGTACAATGCCATCTAGGGGGGTTCAAGCGCTCCCGGCCAGTCGGGGCCGACAAGCGGCATCCATAGGAGTAGCATCGCAGGTCTTTGAGATGGCGAGGGAGCTGCGCCATGGCATATTACAGGGCGTTAGAACCGTGTTCAAGGCAGGGAGCCCAGGGCCAGTTAAGACAAGCCAGTTGAGGCCCGCGCCCGTTCGAAGCAACACACTGCACTCCTAACTCAAGAGCCGAGAAGCTTCGTTACTGCTGGTGCTAGGGACTGCTATGAACTCCGCGTAATCCCCACATCAATAAGTGTACATATATATATATATGTATATCAATGCGTGTATACATATATATATAGACATACATACCCCAAACCGCAAGCGCCCCAGAAAAAGCCGGCTGTTCTGAGAAACCCCCTTATCATCCGTGCATGTATGTACCTCACAGGAAGGCCACCAAGGTTGAGCAGCCCTGCTAATTGCTGCGTTTTAGGGCTTTGAGTCACGGCTTTAAGGGTTTAGGATTCGGGATTTAGGCTGTAGGGCTTTAGGGGTCCCTAAACTTTAAACCGTAAACCTTGGGGCTTAGAGGTTCAGAGCTTCAGGGGCTTGGGATATAGTATTGGTGCTTGGGATTCACTGTTGAAGTCTTGAGGTTCCTGTGAATTGGCAACAAAGGGGATGGCAAGGCTGCCTATAAACTAGGGTTTAGGGTTTAGGGATTAAGGTTTAGGGATTAGGGTGTAGGGTTTAGGGATTAGGGTGTAGGGTTTAGGGATTAGGGCTTAGGGTTTAGGATATATAACCCCCTCGATTGGCCTTCAACCGGTTAACCCAGTGAATTAAACCCCAAAACAAACTCTTACTAGATCTAATGGAACCAGAAATAAAAACCCCAACAATGCTCAACCCTAAAAATCTGCACCCTAAGCCCCAAAAGCTAGACCATATAAACACGTAAAACAGTAAACCCCAAATGCCAGACCCCAAAAGCCAAACCCCAAGCGCCTACCTCTGGATTTAGGTATTTCGGGGATTAGGGCTTCCAACTCACGCGCACATTATAAACCTAGCGTGACTGTTTATATGTAGGTTCCCTAACCCATTAGCAGCCCCAGCGTCCTGCAAAGCAAACCTTAAATTATCGGTTCC